CTCCGTCATTCCAGCACAGAGACCCCAAATCCCTCCTGGTGCTGCCACAAAACTGAAAGGGATCAGCTCCTGTTGAGAATTGTGTAATCCCAAATGCCCAGCATGGAGACCCCAAATCCCTGCTGCTGAACGGGATCAGATCCCACCAGGAATTCTGTGATCCCAAATTTCCAGCACAGAGACCCCAAATCCCTCCTGGTAGGGGCAGAAACCTGAACAGGATCAGCTCCTGTTGGGAATTCTGCGATCCCAAATTCCCAGCACAGAAAGCCCCAAATCCCTGCTGCTGAACGGGATCAGATCCCGCTGGGAATTCTGTGATCTCAAATTCCCAGTGTGGAGACCCCAAATCCCCCCTTCTGCCAGCACAAAACTGAATGGGATCAGCTCCTGTTGGGAATTCTATGATCCCAAATTCCCAGCACAGAGACCCCAAATCCCTCCTGGTAGGGGCAGAAAAGTGAACGGGATCAGCTCCCAGCAGGAATTCTGCGATCCCAAATTTCCAGCACAGAGATCCCAAATCCCCCCTGCTGCCAGCACAAAACAGAATGGGATCAGCTTCTGTTGGGAATTCTGTGATCCCAAATTCCCAGCATGGAAACCCCAAATCCCTGTGGCTGAACGGGATCATCTCCCACCAAGAAATCCGCGATCCCAAATTCCCCAAATCCCTCGTCCCCATCACCATCCCCTTTCCGCTGTCCCCGTTTCCCTGCACCGGGGGAAAATCCCAAATCCCCTCCAGGAATCCGAGCGTCCTCTCCTTCCCCTCCGCTCCAAAGTCGCTTTCCCGCTGTCCTGAATTATTGACGGGAACATGAAAATTTAAAATCTTTCAAGATCCCATTAAAATTCATTTCCTTTCCCTTTGGGGTTCTGTGTAGGGAGGGAGAGCGAGTGCTGCCTTCCCTTCCCGGGATTTAAATCTGCGGAAAATTCCCTTTTAATTGTTTAATTAAAATTAATTAAACCCTCTGAAATAACATCCCTCACCGCCGGCAGCCGGCTCGTCCCAGGGTGGGATTTGGGGTGGGATTCCCAAAATTCCTCACAGGAATTTGGGGTGGGATTCCTAAAATTCCTGATGGAAATTTGGGGTGGGATTCCTCATGGGATTTGGAGTGGGATTCCCAAAATTCCTGATGGGAAATTGGGGTGGGATTCCCAAAATCTGTCCCAAAATCTCTCACGGGATTTGGGGTGGGATTCTCAAAATCCCTCATGAGAATTTGGGGTGGGATTCCCAAAATTCCCCATGGGAATTTGGGGCAGGATTCCCAAAATTCTTCATGAGAATTTGGGGTGGGATTCCTCACGGGAATTTGGGGTGGTGGGGTGGGATTCCCAAAATTCCTCATGAGAATTTGGGGTCAGATTCCCAAAATTCCTCACGAGAATTTGGGGTGGGATTCACAAAATTCCTCAGGAATTTGGGGTGGGATTCCCAAAATCCCTCACGGGAATTTGGGGTCGGCAAATCCCTCCCAGGTTCGGGTCCAAGCCATGCCCCATCCCAGGAAAAGGCGAATCCGAGGATCCCAAACGCCCTCGGGGTTCAAATCGCCCCAGAAATCCTTGAGGGGCCGACCCCAAAGCGTCCCCACCGCCCCTGACCCCATTTCCATCCCAAAAAGGATTAAAATTTTGTTTTTACCTGAGGGATGATCCACGATCCGCAGGGATGGGGCAGCACATGGAAAAAAAAACACAGGGAAAACAGCGGGATCAGAGCTGGGAAAACCCTGCCTGGGGAAAAGCCCGGCCCCAAAAGATTCACCCCAAAAACCTGCAGTTTCCCCCAAAGATTGACCCCAAAAAAACCTGCATCTTCCCAGAGACTGACCCCAAAAAAGTGCAGCCACCAGAGATTCACCCCATAAAGCTGCAGCCCCCAAAGATTTACCCTAAAAAGCTGCAGCCTCCCAGAGCAGAGATTAACCCCAAAAACCTGCAGTTCCCCCCAAAGATTCACCCCAAAAACCTGCAGTTCACCCCAAAAATCTGCAGCCCCCAGAGATTCACCCCAAAAAGCTGAGCCCAATAGGACAAAAAGGACCCAGCAAAACTGGAAAATGCCCCCGTCCCATAATGCTGACCCCAAAAGGGCACCGGGGATTGGGGAAAGGCCCCTGTCCCGAAATGCTGACCCCAAAGGGCAGAGAGGACCAGGAGAGGCCCCTGTCCCCAAAAAGCCAACCCCAAAGGGCACTGAAGATCGGGGAAAGGCCCCAGTCCCATAACGCTGACCCCAAAGGGCACTGAGGATCGGGAAAGGCCCCTGTCCCATAATGCTGACCCCAAAAGGGAGCTGAGGACCATGAAAGGCCCCTGTCCCATAACACTGACCCCAAAGGGCTGGGCAGTGTCCGGGCAGTGTCCGCAGCTGCTGCCAGGGCCGTGCCAGGGTTGCCGGGGCTGCGGGCTCTGTGTACCCAGAAACAGCCTTTGATGTCAGGGCCAGGAATGCGCCCGGCTGCGCTCGGCCACCGAGAGGGGACAGCGCTGCCAGGGCCACCGGGGCTGCTGGGACCATCAGGGCTGCTGGGGCCACCGGGGCTACCAGAGCCACCAGGGACATCAGAGCCACCGGGGCTACCAGGGCTACCAGGGCCACCGGGGCTGCTGGGGCTGCTGAGGCCACCGGGGCTACCAGGGACATCAGAGCCACCTGGGCTGCTGGGGCCATCAGGGCCACCAGGGCCATCAGAGCCACCGGGGCCACCAGGGCTGCTGAGGCCACCGAAGCTACCAGGGCTACCGGGGCTCCGGGGCTGCCGGGGCTGCTGGAGTCACCGGGGCCACTGGGTCACCAGAGCTGCCGGGGTCATCAGAGCCATCGGAGCCACCAAGGCCACCAGGGCCACCAGGGCTACCAGGGCCATCAGGGCCACCAAGGCCGCTGGGGTCATCAGAGACATTGGGGCCACCAGGGCTGCTGAGGCCACCGGGGCCACCGGGGCTGCCGGGGTCATCAGAGCCATCGGAGCCACCAGGGCCACCAGGGCTACCAGGGCCATCAGGGCCACCAGGGCCGCTGGGGCCACTGAGGCTACCAGGGCCACCCAGGCTACCAGAGCTACCAGGGCTATCAGAGCCACCAGGGCTGCCGGGGCCACCGGGACCACCAGAGCCACTGGGGCCACCAGGGCCACCGGGGCCACTGGGGCCATCAGAGGCACCGGGACCATCAGAGTCATCAGAGCCACCTGGGGTCATCAGAGCCACTGGGCCCACTTGTCCCCAGGCCAGAGGTGACAGAGGTGACAGAAGTGACAGAGGTGACAGATCCGGACCCCTCCCCAGCCAGGACAGGGCTCAGAGCTGCGGGGAAAATCCCGCAGGAAACGGCGCAAAAACCACGGGACGCGCGTGGAAAATGGGATGGGGCGGGTCAGGAGCTGGGCTGTCCCCAAACGGGACAGATGGCACGGCCACAGTGTCCCCAAGGTCCCCAACCCCCTCGGCTGCCGCTCCGGGATGGATTCCAGCGCTTTCCAGAAGGTTCCCACGGCCCGGCCGGAGGGTGTGGGGGTGGAATGTCCAGTGAGCTCCCCTGGGATGGACAAACGCTGACCGGACAGACAGAGCGGGGAAACTGAGGCGTCAGTGCGGACACTGAGACTGGGGCAGAGGAGAGGAGGAGGAGGAGAGGAGGAAAGGACAGAGAAGAGGAGGAAGAAGAGGAGGAGGAGGGAGAGGTGCAGGAGGGGAGGGAGAGGAGGGAGAGGGAGAGGAGGGAGGGGAGGAAGAAGAGGAAGAGGAGGAGGAGGAGGAGGAGGGAGAGGGAGAGGGAGAGAAGGAGGAGGAGGGAGAGGAGGAAGAGGAGGAGAAAAAAGAGGAGGAAGAGGAGGAAGAAGAGGGAGAGGATGAAGAGGAGGAAGAGGGAGAGGAAGAGGAGGAAGAAGGAGAGGAGGAGGAAGAGGAGGAGGAGAAGGAGGAGGGAGAAGAGGGAGAGGGGATGGAGAGGAGGGAGAGGAGGAAGAAGAGAGGAGGGAGAGGAGGAGGAGGAAGAAGAAGAGGAAGAAGAGGAGGAGAAGGAGGAGAAGGAGAGAAGGAGGAGGAGGAAGAGGGAGAGGAGGGAGAGGAGGAGGAGGAAGAGGAGGAAGAAGAGATAGGAGGAGGAACAGAAGGAGAGAAGGAGGGAGAGGAGGAGGAGGAGGAGTGTATTGGGTCTGACTGAGGTCAACCCGTAACAAAGAGGAAGAGGAAGAAGAGGAGGAAGAGGAGGAAGAGGAGCAGAGGTAAATCCCAGGCTGCAGCAGCAGGAGGGTCCCAGAACCCTCTCAAAGTCCCTTTTCCTTTGGGATCCGTCCTTTTCCCAGCCCGAAGGACAAAAATTCCACAGAAAAAGAGGATACGGGGTAGAAAAGGAGGATATGGGATGGAAAAGGGGGATATGGGATGAAGGAGCTGTAGCCCAAAGAAAAGAAGGATATGGGGTGGGAAAGGGGGATATGGGATGGAAAAGCAGGATATGGGGTGGAGGGGTTGGATCCCAAAGAAAACGAGGATATGGGGTGGCAAAGGGGGATATTGGGTAAAAAAAAAGGAGGATATGGGGCCAAAAAAGAGGATATGGGATGGA